CCGGTGGGGCCGGCGGAGGCGGGGGCGGGGCGGGTGCGGACTCGTCCTCGGCGGCGTCCTCTTCGATCAGCTCGACGTACGATGCCGGGAAGAGGCCTTCCTTGCCCTCGCCGTCGACGCCAGACCACCAGCCCTCGTCGATCTGCTCGATGTTAGTGATCGTAGCACCCTCCTGCGAGTATCGAAGGAAGGATCAAAGATGCTCGGTGTCAGTGGCCAGAGTTGGATAGGCGGGGTCAGATGCAAGTCAGCTGTGCCCAACTCACCGCAAGCGAAATCTCGTTGTCCTCGGCGGCCTCGTACGCCCACACAACACGACCTCGCAAGCCCTGACCGGCGCCGCCACCGATGTGGGTCGAAGAGAGCTGAGCAGTGGCGGCTTCGACTGCTGGCTCCTCTTGCTCCTCTGCAGCAGGAGCGGGAGGAGCGGGAGGCGCGGGTGGTGCTTCCTCTTCCTCTTCCTGCGCAGGTGCAGGCGGCGCAGGTGGGGCAGATGGAGCCTCGGGAGCAGGGGGAGCGGCCGGAGCAGCAGGCGCAGCAGGCGCGGCGGGGACACTCCTAGCCGCAGGAGCTGGGGCCGAGGATGCGCTGGCGGCGCCAAAGCTGGGACCCTTTGCGATGCCGGACGAGAGCGCCTTGACCCTGGCCTCCTCCTCCTCCCTCTCCTTCTTGGCCGCTTCCTGACGCTGGCTCCAGGTGAGCTTGCCGGCGCCCGCTCCAGAGACGGAGCGCGGGGCGGGAGCGGGCCGCGACTCTTCCGGCTGCTGCTGCTGACCAAAGGCGAAGCGGCTCGCAGACAGCTTTCCGGGCTTGCCGAGACTGACGGGGGTGTAGGCCGTGCCGACGGGTCCGATCCGGTCGTCCTCTGCAGGTTTCGGCGGGGCCGCCGCGGGCTCGGGTCGAGGCGCCGGAGGGACGGAAGGCACCGATGCAGGAGCGGCGGGCTTCGGAGGAGCCGGAGCAGGGGCTGGGGTGGGGGCAGGGGCGCTGACCCTCGGCGCTGATGGCAGCGAAGGGCTGGCGACGTTGCCGGATCGGATCTGCTGAAGCTCGTCCCTCTTGGAGGCGTAGTTGGTACCCTGAGCGCACGAGTGGGGATCAGCATGGGCGGTCGAAGGTCAGCGGCGAGTCGCGAGCGGGACAAGATCGCGGACGGCCACTTACGACGGGAGCAATCTGGTCTCGCGGCGCCGTCTTCTGCATCCCCTTGATGTCGGGCGTGCCGATGGGCTTGTAGGAGGATCCGACGGGGGTGATGGGACCGCCGCGCTGGGTGTTGGCGGCCTGTCCTGCGGCCGAGTAGTTTGCGCCGCTGCTCTCTGCGATCCTCCTCATGATGAGGGTGGGGTCGGCGTCGGCCTCGGAGCGGGCATTGATGCTGACGTGGTAGGCCTTGAGAAACGCGGCGACGGCGGCGCTGTGGGAGGCAAAGAGGCCCTTGCGGGATTCGGGCACGCCCTCGCCACACCAGTTGACGAGGGCGAACTTGGGGAGCTGGGTGTTGGGGTCCTTTACGCGGACAAAGGCGTACTGGATGCGGCCGTCGGAGAATTCCTCGCGGAGGTCGTCGAGGTCGCCCTTTTCGACGACCTGGACGCGGAGGTCGTTGGACTGCTTCTCGTAGGTGAGGACGAGGTAGTCTTTTGCGCCGTCAAGGACCTTTTCGTAGGCGTCGCGGATGGCGGGCGACGATAGGTTGACGTTGAGCGACATGGCCGGCGAGTCAAGGGGCGGGGGTCGGCCAGGCCGGGGGAGGGAGCGGTGTTTGCTTGGTTGCCTAGGTCGACGGGTGTGTCGTCGCTATTGCCGATGGTGCTGGCTGGCTGGTGATCGTGCGACGGTGCGGCTCGTATTTGAGTCCCACAGGTGGTCGCTGGAAGAAGAGGCGGGGATGGAAGGGGCAAGCTGGGCAGGCAAGCAGGTAGGCAGGCGACCACGAGGGAGAGGAGGCGGTGCGTGTGGAGTTTCCCTCTGCCCCCTGTCGTCTGCACGGGCCGCCGCCGTCGGAGGGCAAAGGCCGGCACAGCGTGGCCGCGCTTGGCTGGCTGCCAGGTGGCACTCGACTTGCGATCACCGCCGCCAGCAGCAGCGTGGCGGCCCAGATGCCCGCCAAGCGCCCTCTGCCTGCCGACTCCCGGCAATTCGGCCAGCACAGCCTTATTGGGCTCGCCACCCGCCCGTCCTCTTCTCTTTGCCGCCACTTGCCCAACCGCCACCGCCAGCACCTGCCGCTGCGTCGCTTGCCTACCTCGCCGCTCCGTCGGACTTACGCCTTGCCATGTGCAGGGACGGTCGCTGGCTCTTTGACACGCCGGCCTGGCCTGCCTAGCACATCGTGGCCGTGGCGCAAAGAACCCGCAAAGCGTTCGTTCGGCCAGGCAGCAGCGTGCGAGACTGAGCATGGCCAGGCAGGCAGGTCAAGGCGCCACCTCAACGGCGCAGTCGCGAGCGCTTCAAGCAAGTGGCCAGGTCAGGCCTCCGCCGGACTGGCACGGAAGATCTATCCCGTCATCGGCGTGCTCGACTTTCTCGCCGTCCGTTCTCTTTTCGTGGCCAGTACGCCTGCTGCTGCGCCGCGAGGAAGAGGCAGCGAAGAATCATGTTCATCGTAGTGCTGCGGATATCGACGCCGGGGTCGCTCGCCTGCTGCCCGTTTGCGGCCTGTTTCGACGCAGGCCAGACCACTTCGAGGATCAGCACGGCGATGGCGCTCGTCCACGGCTACAATGGCCGTCGCAATGACGGGCGGCAGCGACCCGACCTGCCTTTCGCCGTCGTGGAGAGCTCCAGCAGAAGGGACAGAAGCACTACTGGCCGGCGTCGAGAGAGCAGCATGCCAGCGAGCCAAGCATGCTGGCCAGGCCAGGTCAGGTCAGATCAGATCACGTGCTCGACGGAAGAAATTGACGGCGAGGAGCGCACGGGCCGCGAGGAGGCAGAACGAGGTGCCAGCAGACGCCCAGCTTAGCCTTCCAAGAGGCAGGCCTGCCCCCGCAGCCGCAGCCGCGCCCGGGCCTGGGTGGGGTCGAGGGCCAGAGAGCCTGGCTGCCTGCCTGGCTGCCTCTGGGGCCAGCCTTCTTCCTACCATCTCAAGACCCTCGACTGCCCCCTTCTCGAGCCGTTGTCCATCCCTCCTCTCGGTCTCGTCCTCCTCGACGTTGCTCGAAGCTTACCGCCGCTTTCCGACCGCCCTGCCACGTTGCGCCGCGCCGCGCCTTCTGCACCCGGACAAGCTCGCACCGATGTCCAGCAGCAGGTCGGCCTCGTCGGCGGCCGCGCGCCCCGGCGTCTCGACCGCCTATCACCTTCCCACCCTCTCGCCAGAGTCGAACAAGAACCTCCTCTCGCTCCTGCGCCTCATCATCATCTTTCTCATCGCCGGCGCCGCCGTCTCTTCGCGCCTCTTTGCCGTCATCCGCCACGAGAGCATCATCCACGAGTTTGACCCCTGGTTCAACTACCGCGCCACCCGCGTCCTCACCACCGACGGCTTCTACCGCTTCTGGAACTGGTTCGACCCCTCGGCATGGTACCCGCTCGGCCGTGCCGCCGGCGGCACCGCCTACCCCGGCCTCATGATCACCAGCGGCGTCATCTACAACTTTTTCCACGCCCTCAACATCCCCGTCGACATCCGCAACATCTGCGTCCTCCTCGCGCCCGCCTTTAGCGGCCTCACCGCCTGGGCCACCTACATGTTCACCGCCGCCATGAAGGACGACGCCTCCGGCCTCCTCGCCGCCGCCTTTATCGGCATCGCGCCCGGCTACATCTCCCGCTCCGTCGCCGGCTCGTACGACAACGAAGCCATCGCCATCTTCCTCCTCATGATCACCTTTTACCTCTGGATCAAGGCGCTCAAGGACGGATCGGCGCTCTGGGGCACCGTCACCGCCCTCTTTTACTTTTACATGGTCGCCGCGTGGGGCGGCTATGTCTTCATCACCAACATGATCCCGCTCCACGGCTTCGTCCTCCTCCTCATGGGCAGATTCAGCACCCGCCTCTACGTCGCCTACTCGAGCTTCTACGCCGTTGGCACGCTCGCCAGCATGCAGGTGCCCTTTGTAGGCTTCCTCCCCGTCCGCACCAGCGAGCACATGGCCGCCCTCGGCGTATTCGGACTCCTCCAGCTCGTCGCCTTTGTCGAGCTGCTCCGCTCTCACGTCTCGTCGAACCAGTTCAAGCTGGTCCTACGCGCCTTTGTCGCCTTCATCGCCGTCGCCGCCTTTGCCGCCCTCGTCACCCTCACCTACGCCGGCTACGTCGCGCCTTGGACCGGAAGGTTCTACTCGCTGTGGGACACGGGCTATGCCAAGAAGCACATCCCCATCATCGCCTCGGTCTCGGAACACCAGCCGCCGGCGTGGCCCGCCTTTTTCTTCGACCTCGAGATGCTCATCTTCCTCTTCCCCGTCGGCGTCTTCCTCCTCTTCCGCGAGCTGCGCGACGAGCACGTCTTTGTCATCATCTACGCCGTCATGGCCAGCTACTTTGCCGGCGTCATGGTCCGCCTGATGCTCACCCTGACGCCCGTCGTCTGCGTCAGCGCCGCCGTCGCCGTCAGCACGCTGCTGCAGACCTACCTCGACCCCAAGGAGCCGATGAGCGACGACGAGCTCGCTGCCGACGCCGCCAGCGGCAAAAAGGCGGCCGCCGTCGAGGCGGCCAGCCTCGCCGATGCCGTTGGCGCCAAGCCGAGCAAGATCAAGAAGGCCTCGGCCGTCGCCGCCGCCGCCGCCGAGTCGTCATCCGGCACCGCCACGCCCGTGCTGCCGTCGGAGCCGCCCTTTAAGACCGACAACTTCTCCAACCCGCGCGTGGGCGTCTTTGGCCTCGACTCGCGGCTGCTGGTGACCATCTACACTCTGGTGCTGCTGCTCGTCTTTGTGCTGCACTGCACGTTTGTCACGTCGACGGCCTACTCGTCGCCCTCGGTGGTGCTGGCGTCGCGCAACCAGGACGGATCGCAGCACATCATCGACGACTTCCGCGAGGCCTACTACTGGCTGCGCCAGAACACGGCGAGCGACGCCAAGATCATGTCGTGGTGGGACTACGGCTACCAGATCGCCGGCATGGCCGACCGCCCGACGCTGGTCGACAACAACACCTGGAACAACACCCACATCGCCACCGTCGGCAAGGCGATGGCGTCGCCCGAGGACAAGTCCTACCCCATCCTCCAGAAGCACGACGTCGACTACATCCTCGTCATCTTTGGCGGCCTCCTCGGCTTCTCGGGCGACGACATCAACAAGTACCTCTGGATGATCCGCATCGCCCAAGGCGTCTGGCCCGACGAGATCCGCGAGGCCGACTACTTTACTCCCCAGGGACAGTACCGCATCGACGACGGCGCCAGCAAGACGATGAAGGACAGCCTCATGTACAAGATGAGCTACTACCGCTTCAACGACCTCTTTGGCGGACGCACCGGCACCGACCGCGTGCGCGGCACGCCCGGACCCAGCGTCAGCCCGACCATCGACATCCTCGACGAGGCCTTTACCAGCGAAAACTGGATCGTGAGTGGGCGCCGCGAGCTGAGGCGGAACGTGGGCAAACCTTCGGAGCTGACACGCCCTCTTGCCCCACGGCCACTGTCCCCGCCCCTTGCAGGTCCGGATCTACGCCGTCAAGAAGCCCGACGTGCTGGGCCGGGACCTGCACAGCTCCAAGGCGTTCGAGAGCGGCAAGCGGCGGAAACGCGCCGTCGACCTCGCCACGCCCTCGTCGGCGAGCGCCGGCAGCGGGCGGAAGGGCAAGAAGTGAGGAGCGAGGAAGCTGGACCTGGTTTTGTAAAACTGCCGCCCAACGCAGGAGGGGCGCCGTCGTCGTGGCCGTCTTCGACCAGCGGGCCCCGCGCGCCGCCCCAGTCTGTGCATGCCTCCAACGCGATAGATTCGGACAGCGCTGCGACACGCTCGGGAGTACTTCGACGCGAGAGATGTCAGAGCAGGACGACGCACCACCACGGCCCCTATTCGGGTACGCGGCGGCTTCTTCGCCTCTCCTCTTTCGTTCCTTCCAAGGGACAAGCGGAGCGGGACGGCACGATGGAGAAGCTCGTCGTGTCCCTACCTTGTCCTCTACATCGCTTCGCGTCCTTTCGCCTCTTTCACAGAGGGAAGGGGCGCGATTCGATCGAGGACGAAAGAACGCAGAGGGGGGCCAAGAACGATACCACCCGGCGCCTCGCCACGTCTGCCATGTCCCTCCGTGTCATCGTCAACTCCGCTCTTCATCGGTCTTTTCAGGGTTGATGGAAGGGTAAAGGGCGAGATGGCGGGAAAGGGGCGATGCCAGGCATGGTGACGGAAGGTAGGGTGTACTCAAGGACCGACCCCGTTCTGTCCTCCGCGCACCTCGCCTCGTGCGACGCCGGAGGAGGGACTGGTGGGGACCGGTTTCGTATATGCATCCACAAGCCCTTTGCCTCTGATTCTCGCTCGGGATCGCGGCAAGTGCGAGGAACTGCACGCGCACGGCGTAACCACGGCGACGAGCGCGGGCTAGAGAGAGAGAGGAGGGAGTGGATGGCATGGCATGGCTGGCGAAGAAGGAGGGTGGCCGCGGGACATGTGGCTAGCAAGGACAGCGAGGCGGCGGCAACCGAGCCACGAGTTCGCCGCGCTCGTTGCTGCGCGCTTGGCTCGTCTCTGACAAGTGCCGCATCGTTGCTTTCCCTCAGTTGGGGCTGTAGGTCCAGTGATCCGAGATGTCCCTCTGTTGAAAGTTGGGGACTATTTCGTCACACGGACACCGACAAGGACGAGGCCCGGATCGTCAGAGATTGTCCACATCCCGGCCCGATTCTGACCGTTCACGGCGACTGCGACTGCGGCAACTGCGCGGGGCACTCACCCTCGAGTTTAAGGCCCTTGGTCGGGTGCGACGTCGAAATGCCCGGGTCGCTCTGCGCGTCGACACAATTTTCGGGAATGTCGGCGACCGTGGACACGGCGATGGGCTTGCCGTTGTAGGTGATCCGGAATCCGTCCGGAGGCGCACAGCCATTGTCGCACGGCCCGTAAGCAAAACAGAAGAGACGAGCCTCTGGATACCACTTTACCGAGCCGATATCGGTCTTGATGGCGAAGAAGGGCGCGGCAGGCCACTTTTCGTACCCAGCGGCGAGACCGAGCGTGAGGGAGAGCAGCACCGAGGTGGCGAGGAATTTCATCGTGGCGCAGGGGACTCGAGGGACGTTGGGGAAAGCGATGAAGGGTTGTCGAGATGAGAGCAGACGGGTGTGCGGAAAGGAGGGGCGAAGGCCTCGGAGGCCCAGATCTCGGCGCGTTATGTACCTTTCCGGACACCACGCTCTCGCATGCGTCTTGGTGGGGTTGATCGGATCGAACCTGCAAGAAAGGTCACGCACGGTCGGACACGCTGCGACGGCTGACCACTGTAATGAGCCTCACTGCAGCTGACTGCAATGACCACAAGGGCGTCGAACGGCCCGCAAGGGCGGTCATCCGAACAGCGATGGCCAGGAGCCGCAATCAGTCCCCACCTCGACGCGCAGTCCCGCACCCACCCACATCGCCGGTCGGCGCAACGCAAATCAAGGTGGGTCTTGCATAGCCTCAAGCTGTGCCGACGCTTGCCAGAAGTCGGGGAGTGTTTCCACTCTGGTGGCTCTCCCATCCGCAAAGCGCCTATTCACCACCTCGAGCGCTGCGCTTTCGCAGCTTTTCTTCACTGATCATGCCGAAAGGCCTTCCTCCGCCTGTGCGTCCGAGACGGGGTGGAAGCGGGCCGGGCCGCAAGGGCGGGAGGCAGGAGCAGGGCGTGGGTGCGTGCGCGGCTGGAGCGGAGCGGAGTCGTGTGCGCCACGCTCGGCCAGGGTCCCTGTTTTCAGCGCGAGCGCCACACGCGCACAGCTGCGCAGCCTGACAGGCGCTCGGCGGCCCTCGGTACCGCTGCCGAAGCGTCGCACAAATCTCGGCCAGAGCCGGGTACGATGCCGATGGGGATCAGCGGGTCGGACGGGGAGCTGCCAAAGCCCGACTTGACCCCCCACCGCTCGCCCGACCCACTGATGACTGCTCGTGTCTCAAATCGCGCCAGGACACGCTACGCTTTGCTGTTCATTTGAGGTCTGACTGCTTCATCGCTACAACGAACCACGAGCATTCCCGCAGAGCTGCTGCCGACGGTCGGTCGGTTTCTCTGTCGACCAGCTTCGCCCCACATACAGGTTAGGGTCACCACGGAGGTGGGAGCGGTTCGTAGCCCGGCGAAGGAAGCAACGGGCACAATCGACGGGCAGGTTCACGCCCCCGTCGTTCCGTTGCATCCGTGCCGCAGCCCCAGACCCTCAGACGAGGTCGACGACCCACCTCGAATCGGCCAGCACTTAGATATCATCCTCGAGCTACACCCTCGATCTCGCTTTCCCTAGCTCTACATTCTCGCATTCCCCCTCGCGCTCGACTCCCCCGAGCATCGACGACCACCATGATGCCCATCGCATCGCTCCTCGACGTCCTACTGCTGTCCTTGGCCGTCCTCGGCCAGGTTCTCGCCGCGCCGGACGGCACCCAGCCTTTGCACTGGGACCTGCCCGCTCCCGGTCAGTTCGTCTCCCTCGAGTACGTCGACGGAAACGCCTTGTTTTGCAGTACACTCCCTGCCGATATCGTCGACAACCAGCCCCAGCACAACCTCTTCAACTTCATCTGTCAGGCCCATGGCGAATGCGTCGCAGTCCTGGATCGAGTCTGCCGAGGAAACTGCATCTTCCACGGCGTTCGCAGTCAAGTTGTCCATGGCCGATCCGCCTACTGCCGCTCTGCCAAGATGTCTCCCGAGGCCTTTGGCACTACCAATACCGTCGGAGCCGGTCTGGCCACGCTGTTCAGAGAGGCGTCCAGAACGGGCTCGTTTGGCCTCAATTGTGAGTAGTGGCGCTGCCAGCTGTATCCGCACAAAGAGACACGGGCCAAAGACTCATGTCGCGCACATCGTCTTGTGGGAAACGTCGTAGTCGAGGTCACGTACATCGGCGACCGTGGCAAGGAGCTCAAAAGCTCCTACTACCAAGACTTTGGACAGTTCAGTACGGGTCCTCCGTGATGGTTGGATAGGTCTTGGCCGTTTCGGCACGGCGACACGCTGCTCCCTCGGGCGCACTTGTAGAACGTCAAAAAGTGTCGGCGGACAAGTTACGCTTCCTCTCGACGGTCGTGCCTGGCCTCGATCAGTCTTCCCTTGCGCTGCGGAAATATACGCGCGCATGCGCCACGTTGGCTGGCTACCCCTCACACCTATCATGTGCATGTATATGTGCCTGTATTGCTGTGGGATTGTCGCTCATGTCTGCTGCATCTCTGACATTTCTGCGACTGATTGCATGTGGTCAGACTCGAGCAACAGCAACGGAGAAGCAGACAGAAACACAAGCCAGCAAAAGTTAGAGCTGAAGGAGGAGGGGAGGTCTTGGCCATAGGCTGATGCACAGGGGCCGAGGGAGGCCAGGATCAAGCACGGTGTTCAGACGTGGGCACATTGGCAAGGCCGGGCAAAGCTCGATGCAACAGCGGCATCAGGGCGGCGCACGTCGCATCCACCCGGCGTGCCCGCAGCCGTGACGGGCTCATCGTCTTGCAGGGTTCGGCGTGCTGCGCCGCGAGGCAGGGGGTGGGCGTGCGCGAGAGAAAGCGGTCGCGCCACGACGGCAAGCATCGACTTGGCACCAGCCCCTTTCCCTTTGCGAGCGTCCCGGCACGCCGGGCAACCCAGCCTTTGTTTTCGGGTCAATACACAGCCACGGGTGCATAGCACAGCAGGCGCAGAGGGACAGACGACGAGCCGGCTCGACGAGGAGTCGAAACGAGCCAAGGAGTAGCTGGCTCGTCTTCTATGGCGGAAGCTGCACGAGCAGGAAGTGCGCGGCCCGTGGCTCACGCGGCGCGGCGCGGCGCAACAATGGACGCCGCACCGTCGAGTTGCCCGTACATTCGCCGGCGTGTGGGGGGAATAGGGGCAGCGTATGATCGATGTCGAGGGCGAGGCCTGACCTCGGACCAGTCATCCTTTCGGTCAGCAAGGCCGAGGTGGGGTCGCCGATGGCACTCTGGAAGTGGGTTGTCCCGCCTATGCGTAGTGCGCCTTGGTCCCGTTATCCTCAGTAATCGACCCACCGTGACCGAGGGTCGAGCGCAAAGGATAAGCGCGGGAGCAGAAACCCGAGCAGCTCCTCGATTCCGGTCCGGTTGCGGTCGATGGGGCACAGCCGTCTTGAGGAAGGGTACAAAAGGACGTCGGTCCTGGCCTGCTCGTCGTCCCACCTCGCACCCTCATCCTCGCTCCTGCCTCAGCCTCTCCCTCATCCTCACCCCTGACACGCACCCGTGACGCACCCTCCCGCTCTCCACTTGACATCATCGACCAAGCAGATCGGCGATACGAAATGAAATTCACGACCTCGCTGCAGGCCGTCGTCGCGGGCGCTCTCGCCGTCGTCGCGCTCGGCTCGACACGCGTCGCTGCAACCAACGAACCGACCTCCTTGTTCTGGATAATGCAGGTGCCTGGTGAGGATGCTCGGACGCCCAGCAAAACAACCCCCGAGATCCTGTCCCTTCAGTACATTTCAGGCCAGGCTGTGCTTTGCTTCCCCAGGCCCTTTGCTCTGGTCGAGCGTCCGGACGACAGCACCCCCTATCCGGGCACCCCGCTCAACTTGGAGGTTGGCAGCGACGGAATAGTCTCTGTCGTCACTCAGAGCGCCTGCGGGTTCGGCAGCTGCGTCTTTGGCGGAATGAGGGACTATGGCATCCGCGGCTCTACCCAACACTGCAGGTTCGGAAAAATGCCAGTTAGCATCTATGCCCGCAGCGGCGGCCAGCAGGACATTGTCAACACGATGGAAGCCTTCGTAGACATGCCAGAAGTCGCTCTCAGTGGTGAGCAGCTCCTTGCACCGCCCCTCCCTCGAACCCATGCTGTTCCTGGAGCCACGAGTCGGGTCGGGTCGAGTCGTGCCGTATCCGTCTTTGGCCGACGCGTCGCCCTCTGGCCCCTAGGCCTGGCTCAGTGCACCGCGCCTCACGCCCTCGACGCAGCTCAGCGCCCCTGACATGTTCCGTCTCCTTTTCTCCCTCCCTCCCTCCCGCCTCCCTCGCCCCGGGCTCCGCTCCAGTCCCCTGGCAATCCGCCGACAAGAAGACGAACGGGTACTATTTCATCAAGTTCGGCCTGCCGCGGACGCAGTTGCCCCACACCAGCTAAACGGCAGGCCATCATCGCGTGCCTGTCGCGCGCTCGGTTCCGAGCGTGGCGGAGACCAGTCCGTCGGCGAGGCAGATGATTTCCACCCCCCGCCTCGCCTCGCCACCGAGGCCTCTCCGCTCCTCCTCTCCATCATCTCTCCTCGGCCAGCGCCGCCGTCTTCCACATGTCGGTAGCTTCTTTCTCCCGCCCTCCTCCTCCTCTTCGCAGCCGCGCCTCGTCGCCCTCGCTCGCTGTCTTTGTTCTCGCCCGCATTTCTCTCGCGCTTGCTCGCTACCACGCGACGCTCGATCAGCCGGCCCTTACGGCCCAGGCTGGGAGCTCGCAGCGACTCCGTCCGAAGTCCGGCACCCCCCTCCTCTTTCCCTCTAATACTACTATGGCCGTTCCCCCTCCCTTTCCATGCTCCCCTCTCCCGCAGCGTCGGCGAGTTGGTGTTCGCTATTTCTTTGGCTCGATGCCTGCTTGCCCCAGAACGGAATGGGATGGCGAGTGCGGGCGAATCGAGGGATCTCGCCCGGTCAAACTGCTGTGCATGATCGCTACAGACGCACACACAGACAAGAGCGAAGAGGGAGAGGAATCCATATTGCTAGCCAAAACGGCACTCGCGAACGGGCTACGGCGAGATCTCGACCATTTGCGCGAGGATGACCGAAAGGGGCTCGCAGATGGGCCAGGAGGTGGAGGCGGCGCGCTGGGCGAGCTGGTCCGAGTACGACGAGAGGATGCGTTTGGGCGCGAGCGGGCTCGACAGGTCGCCGATGAAGCTGAGGCGCGGCCGGACGACCTTGGCCGCCGCCCGCGACGACGATTCGGCCGTGGCCGCGAGCGCGTCGAGCGAGCCCGTGCCGGTGCCAGTGCTTCCTGCATCGGCGCCGTGGCGCGCATCGGTGGCGGGTGCATGGACACCGAGACCAGGGCCGGGGCCGGACGGTGCGGCGTCGTAGGGCTGCAACGACAGCGAGATGGGCGCGTAGGCGGGTCCGTCGAGGTGGACGCTCAGTACCTCGCGCCCGATGGCGTCGTCGTGCACCTCGGCGATGCTCGACGAGAGGCGGCTCCGGGACCCGCCCGGCGAGGTCGGCGGGTGCGACCCGGCGCCTCCGCGGCCTCCCTTGCGACCCACGCTGAACGGGTTGGCGAGCTGCCCGATGGTGAGGTCTCCCTTGTCCTTCCACCACAGCGAGACCAGGTAGACGCTGATGGCGGCGTAGAAAAACAGCAGACCCTCGAACGTCGAGCTCGTGGGGAACGTGCGGAAAAAGTAGACGATCCGTCCGGCTGCAAGAGCGATCGTTCGGGGAAAAGTTCAGGCACGTCAGCACGCGCACGCGCACGTCGGGGACCACGCGCGCCGGCGACTCACCGTGGACGGCCAGCGACCACGCCTCCCAGGGGCGGCGGTCGAAGCGCTCCTTGATCGGACCGAGCGTCTCGGCCTTTTCCCGCTGGCTGTGGCGGCCACCGAGGACCTGCAGGTCTTGCAGGTCGACCAACGTCCTGAGCAGGTCGAAGCGCACCGCCAGCTCGAGCTTCGGGTTGGCCGGCGTGCCGCCCGTCGGCGCCTGGCGCGGCTCGCCCAGGAGTGCCACGCTGGACCCCAGGTAGCGCTCCAGCACCTCGGCCTGCTGCTCTGCCAGGCCGATGCAGAGCGAGCGAAACGTCTCGGTGACCTCGCGGGCGTGCAGGGCCAGGCAGCCCTTGCCCACCGTCGACACGGCGTCGCTGAGCGACCACAGGCTGTTGGCCAGCACCGTGCGCTGAAAGTCGCTCGCCTTGATCTCGTCGTTGAGCAGCCGCGTCGCCGTGCCTTCCTCGAGCGCAGTGTGGAAGTCGGCGACGGTGTAGTAGCCGGCTGCGCGCGTGTCGTGCCGCGAGGCGAGGCTCCACATGGTGGCGTTGGGCGCGTTCCAGCTGGCGTCGGGGCACGGCAGCTCGCTCTTGAGCTCGTCAAACGAAAAGAGCGACGGCAGGTTCCACGAGACCGACAGCTCGGCGTCGGCGACAAAGACGGCCCAGCCGGTGCGCTTGAGGCTCTCGAGGTGGATCCAGGCCTGCCAGCGCGCATGCAGCGACGCCGCGGGGTCGCCGCCGTTGTTGTCGTCGTCGGCCCCGCAAAGTGCCCCAGCGGCGGCGGGTCGGGCGGCCTGCTGGGACCAGCCTGCGAGCGAGGCTGACTGCGTCGGCTTGGATCTCGTCCCACCGCCGTGGTAGGCCGCTGCCGTCGTCGTCGACGCATCCTGCTGCGCCGGGTCCGGCGCCGAGTGCGTCGAGGTCTTGTCGAGCAGCCGACGCCGCCTCGCCAGCGTGGCCAGCGGCGATCGGATGGCCTCGGCAAACTCGAGCAGGCGGCGGTCGCCCGTGCTGCGCATGAAAATGTCGGACAGGACCATGGCCTGGATGAAGCCGAGCGAGCGCTCCTGGAGGTTGGTGCGGTGCCATGCGACAAACTGGGCCTTGTTGGTGATCTCGGCGAGGACGTGGCCGAGGTTGGCGGCGCGGGGTATGCGCGACGACAGGCTGCCGAGGGCGATGGCGTTGGCGAGCAGAAAGACGGGGCACTTGTCCGGCGAAAAGGTGGGCGCGTGGAGGAAGGGGTACTGGACGTGGAAGTGGACAAAGTAGAGCTGCAGGAGGGCGTTGTAGGTGGCGACGCTGACGCCTTGCAGCATGGCCAGGGCGCGCTCCTCGTCGTGCTTGGGCAGCTCGGCCAGCGCGACGACGCTGAGCAGCTTCTTTTTCGAATAGGCCGTAAAGGGCGCCACCTGCATCGTGTCCTCGGCCAGCAGGTCCTGACGCGTGGCCTCGCCGATGGGCTCGGTCGACGACGTCAGCGGCGACGCGGCCGGGTGCCGCCAGAAGCCGTCTGGCATGGCGCAGGGCCCCGCCAGGTCGCGGTGGATCGGCCTCGGCATGCACCGGCCCCGGTCCGGACGGCGCGGCGCTTTCCCTGCCATGGCGTGGTCCACGGTGTCGCCGTCCTCGGAGCTGTGCTCGCCTTCGCGGTGCGTAGAGCTCTGGATGCCCGAGCGCGACAGCGAGTACGACGGCTCTCGTCGAGGCCGCTTCCTGCTCCGGCGCTCGCCGCCGTCGACGTTCGCACCGTGGCCGGACGGCAGCGCTGCCGTCGAGGGTCTTTCGGCCTGCATCGCCGGCGCGCTCGGCAGGGACGTCGGCTGCTGATGCGCAGTCGCAGAGGATGCACTCGGCCCGGAAGCCTGGCGCAAAGTCTCAAGATCCGGCGGATTTGCTGCACCAGCGGCGTCCGCCAAGGTCGGCATGGGCCAGGCCGCGCCGGCCGTCGCTAGCGGCTGAGGGAAGGCGGGTTGGGCGATGGGTCCCAGGGTGGTTTCTATGGGCGCAAAGAGCCAGTCGAAGGTCTGATCGGCGGCGATCATCGACGAGTCGGAAAAGGCAAAGTCGAGCCAGTCCTGGGTGGGCAGGCTCGGGTCAGACCACGTCGATGGGCCGCTCGACGACGAGACGCGAGACGACGACGAAGCCGAGGCCGGGTAGAGGCTGCTGGCCGGGGTCGACGAGGCTGGGTAGGAATCGTGACGGTGGGGCGGAGCTGCTGTGCCGCCAGGCTGGTACTGCTGCCTGGGTCCAGGGTGGCGCTGCTCGAGGACCGTCCGCGGCGCTGCGCCGAGGGGCGAGCTGCCATGGAGCCGCGGCGCCGAAGGGTAGGCCGCCGATGGCTGCGCCGGCGACGGGTTGGTCGGGACGGCGTAGCCCCTGGCCTGGCTCGGGGCCATGGCCGTCGATCCAGGCTGCGGGTGCTTGGAGTCCGCCTCGAGGCTTGCGGGATTCTCGGAGTAGGGGCGAGGAGGCGTGTGCGAGCCAGCGGCGAGGAGCGAATCGACCGTGTAGGTGGACCTCTTGGGCGGCGCGGCGTGCAGAGATGATGAAGACGACAACGAAGACGACGACGCCAGGTCGCTACGGACGAGGTCGCTCTCCGGCCCGAGCGGATGGCAAGGTGTGGCGTCGGACGTCGGGTGCGTCAGTTTGGTGCTGGCATCGTCTTGGGCGGCGGCGCGGGTGGACGGGTGGTCGAGAGCTGGGCGCGGGGCGGACGGCGAGTCTGGCTGGGACGATGCTGTGGTGGTCGAGGCCGAGGGTTGGTCTGGGCTGGTGCGTGGGATGGCGGGTTGCGGAGCGTAGGAGCGCTTTTGGGGATAGTGGCATACGGTGCCGGGGCGTGCCTGGCAGTTGCGGCATACGGGCTGGCCGTCGCACTTGATCTTGGAACGGGAGCAGCTTGTGCAGGCCTTTCTGGTCTTTGTGATGGCGGCGCGGCTCCTTGCGCTGGTGGTGTTGTACGCTGCGGATGCGGGGTCGTGGTGGCTCTGTGTGCGCGATGCGGCCGAGGGCGATGTCGAGGATGGACCGGTTGTGGCGGTGGTGTTTGGGTTTGCGTGAAGGCTCTCGTGGCGCTTGAGGGCGTCGCTGCGGGAAAAGGTTGCGCTGCAGAGCCTGCAGATGAAGTTGGAGGAAGGGTCGTGGCAGGACTGGTGCCGCTTGAGGTGCTCGCGGCGGGTGAAGGTGCGGTGGCAGATGTCGCAGACGTGCGGGTGGACGGGGCCGGCGGCGGGGCGGCTGGGTTGGCCGGGTTGGCCGGGTTGGCCATGTTGGCGAGAGGGCGTGCGAGCCTGTCTGGGCGGGGCGGTGTTGGTCAGCTGGGCATGGCTGCGGTCGGGGTGGCTGGTGGGACGAGGGTAGGCGAAGGTGTCGGCCGAGGTGTTGTCGGTGTGGGATCGAGGCGGATGGAGTTGATGAAGATTGGGATGTTGGTGGAGGTGGCCATGTTGATGAGGGGCCATCGAGGGTGGATAGCGTGACATGGTGGTGTGCTATGCGAGAGCGGGTCGAGGAGCACAGAGAGGTGTAGTGTCATTGCGGGGGGTTGGCACAAGGCTGAGGGTCAGAGGATTGGCATGGGGGAGGGCGAGGGCGATACGAGAGGGACGTCGCGGAGGAGGAGGCAAAGGAGGATGAGGACGAGGGGAGGCAAAGGAGGACGAGGAGGACGAGGAGGAGGGGAGGGAAAGGAGGACGAGGAGGAGGGGAGGCAAAGGAGGACGAGAAGGACAGGAAACCCTGCACCGCCGCCCGCCCGCCCGCCTGGAAATATGCAAAATGGAGCGGCTCGGCGGGGGGGGCGCCCAGACGGCATCGGCTGCAAAGTGGGGGGCGGCGAGGGCGGGAAATGCCGGCGGGCGCAAACGTGGCGCGGGCCAACGAGCGAGGGACAGCTGCCCTCTGGTCGGTACCGAGGCCGCCTTGGCTCAGCGTCAGGCAGGCAGGGTCCAATTTTGGCCTGCAATTTCCACGGCCATTTTCCTTGCTTGGTCGAGGCGGGCGAGCGTCATGGCCAGCCAGCCAGCCAGCAGGCAGACTGTAGCTGTGGCTGTGGCAGACGCCGGCTGGCTCGTCGGCCCCCGGAGCCGGTTGGGCGCGCGGCGTTGCCTGGCCTGGCCAGGTGGCCTGGGTTTTTCGGACGCGCCCTCTGCCCCGCTCTGGCCGTGGCCGTGGCCCTCTGTTGCTCTTTGAGCCTGGCCCTGGCCCTGGCCCTGGTCTGACTGCCCGATGGCGCGCACATCGCAATTGGGCCCGGCCAGGCCTGGCTGCGCGGGCAGCGTGTTGGTGCGTGTGTCGCTCTGTCTCTCGCTCTCTCGTCTTCTGTCGCGCTTCATCCACCACCACCGTCACCATCACCATCACCGCCCGCCCGTCCGCCGCCTCCTTCTCTCTTCAATCCGGGCACCGCCCCTCTTTTCCACCACCGCCGCACCACACCTCGCTCTTCTGCCGCCCTCCTGCCCGCGCACTCGCCCGCACTCGCCTAGAAATCTCCTTCTGCTTCTCCTTCTGCCACCGCCCCCTCGACCCGTAGCCAAAAAAAAACACCCGCCGGCCCGCCCGACCGCCTGCCTGCCTGCCCGGCCTGGCCTCAGACACAGCCCTCGGCTTTCCATCTTGGCCCGCTCGCCTGCCTGCCTCACCCACCCCTTAGACGGCCACCCGCCTTCACCCGCTCCCACTCCCCCCACAATGGACGTCGATCTCATCCAGGTCGTCAACCGCCTACAGGAGACCTTCACTGCCATCGGTGGCGACTCGGTCGACCTGCCACAGTGCGTCGTCGTCGGCTCACAGTCGTCGGGAAAGTCGAGCGTACTCGAAACGTGAGTAGCAACAGGTACCCTCCGCCCGCCCGCCCTTCTTTCCTCTTATTATTGCCTGCTCGCCTCTCTTGTCCGCGCCCCGCCCCGCCTCGCCCGCTCACCCATCAACCCCTCCTCTCGCCACTCTGCGCCTCTCCCCCCGAGCAGCATCGTCGGCAAGGACTTTTTGCCTCGCGGCAGCGGCATCGTCACCCGGCGGCCCCTCGTCCTCCAGCTCGTACACACCCCCGCGCCCCACGAGTCCAACGCCGCGTCGTCGTCGTCGTCGTCGCCGCCGCACAACGCCGACGCAAACGAGCCGCAGCCCGAGCTGCTGCGCAACGCCGCCGGCTCCAGGCAGGCCACCTACGGCGAGTATGGCGAGTTCCTCCACCTCGACAAGCGCTTCACCGACTTCAACGAAATCAAGCGCGAGATTGAAAACGAGACGTTCCGCGTCGCAGGACAGAACAAGGGCGTGTCCAAGCTGCCCATCCACCTCAAGATCTTCAGCCCAAACGTCCTCAACCTCACCCTCGTCGACCTGCCCGGCCTCACAAAGATCCCCGTCGGCGACCAGCCCTCGGACATTGAGCGCCAGATCCGCAGCCTCGTCACCGACTACATCTCCAAGCCAAACTGCATCATTCTCGCCATCAGCCCCGCCAACGTCGACCTCGCCAACTCGGACAGCCTCAAGCTCGCCCGCTCCGTCGACCCGCAGGGCCGCCGCACCATTGGCGTCCTCACCAAGCTCGACCTCATGGACCAGGGCACCCACGCCCTCGACATCCTCACCGGACGCGTCTACCCGCTCAAGCTCGGCTTCATCGGCGTCGTCAACCGCTCCCAGCAGGACATCAACGGCAACGTCTCGATGCTCGTCGCCCGCCGCGCCGAGGAGGAGTTCTTCCGCTCCCACCCGGCCTACCGCAACATTGCCCACCGCTGCGGCACAAAGTACCTCGCCAAGACCCTCAACCAGGTCCTCATGAACCACATCCGCGACAAGCTGCCCGACATGAAGGCCCGCCTCAACACGCTCATGGGCCAGACGCAGCAGGAGCTGGCGGCGTTTGGCGACACCACCTTCCTCGGCGACCAGCACCGCGGCACCCTCGTCCTCAAGCTCATGACCCAGTTTGCGCGCGACTTTGTCGCCTCCATCGACGGCACCACGTTCGACCTCTCGACAAAGGAGCTCTGCGGCGGCGCCCGCATCTACTACATCTTCCAGGACGTCTTTGGCCACGCCCTCGGCAGCATCAACCCGACGCAGAACCTCACCGTACAGGACATCCGCACCGCCATCCGCAACTCGACCGGCCCGCGCCCCAGCCTCTTTGTGCCCGAGGCCGCGTTTGAGCTGCTCATCAAGCCCCAGATCAAGCTGCTCGAGCCGCCCAGCCTGCGCTGCGTCGAGCTCGTCTACGAGGAGCTCATGAAGATCTGCCACAACTGCACCAGCGCCGTGAGTGGCGCCAGACGAGGGCCCTCGTCCTCCTCCGGGGTGCCCCAGCGCGCCTGCCCTATGCCCTGCTGACTGACGAGGATCCGTTCGAATTCCTTCTCCTTCCGACGTTTCCCCCGCAGGAGCTGCAACGGTTCCCGCGACTGCACGCGCAGCTGATCGAGGTCGTGTCGGAGCTGCTGCGCGAGAGGCTCGGCCCGACGTCCGAGTACGTCCAGAGCCTGATCCAGATCCAGGCGGCCTACATCAACACCAACCACCCGGCCTTTGTTGCCGACTCGGCCAACATTGCCCGCGACACGCGCGAGGACCAAGCGCGCAAGCAGATGGCGCTGACCGCGTCCTCGCGCCGCAAGCATTCCTTCGACTCGGCCTCGGCGGGCGGCACTGCGACCGACGACGATGACGAAGACGACGACGCCGCCAACAACAACAACAACAACCGGGGGTCCGCATCCCGGACGCTGACCGTCAATGGCGCGTCCAAGACGGGCAGCAAGTGGGAGAGAAAGGAGCGCTCGGCCTCGTCGGCGCACGAGTCGCGGCCGCACGCCAGCTCCAACCCCGAGTCGCGCGTGCACCACACCATCGGCCACTCTGCAGGCCTGGCCATGGGGGGCAACGCGGGGGCCGGGAGCGGCGCGGGCGGCGGCGCCAAGGACTCGTTCCTCAACTACTTTTTCGGCGGCGCCTCGGGTCTGCCCGTGGGCGGCGCGGGCGCGGCGAGCGGCTACCATCCGGCGCCGCCGCGCAACGCGCTGACCGAGTTTTCGGCGCACGGCGCCAACGGCCGGGGCCAGAAGCCCAACGCCATGTCTGGGCGCACCGGCCTCGAGGGCAACAGCGCAGCCTACGACATGAAGAGCCTCGACAAGCACCTCGAAGCTGTGAGTTGGCAGCCAAAGGAGGCGGGCTGAACGAATGGCCGATTGCGTCTTCCCCCGCGCTGACCACGACCGTCGCTTTCCCTTCGTCTCTTGCTTGTGCCTCTCTGCTCTGCTCTGCTCTGCTCTGCTCTGCTCTGATCGCCCAACCAGACGCCGATCGCGTCCGAGGAGTACGCGCTGTCGGACCGCGAGGAGCTCGAGACGACGCTGATCCGCGCGCTGATCGCGTCCTACTTCAACATTGTGCGGCAGTCGATCCAGGACCTGGTGCCCAAGGCGGTGATGCACCTGCTCGTCAACTTTAGCCGCGAGACGGTGCAGAACCGGCTGGTGGCCAGCCTGTACAAGGACTCGCTGTTCGAGGAGCTGCTGTACGAGGACGAGGGGCTGACGAGCGAGCGGAAGCGCGTCAAGCAGCTGCTCGACGCCTACCGCGAGGCGTTCAACGGTGAGTGCCGCTGCGGGGGCGTCGTTCCCAGGAAGTGGTGTGATGCGACATCGTGGCTGGGCGGGAACTGACTCCGCGCATTGCTGCTTTCCCTCTTGTTTGCCCTTCGGATCGCCACCAGTCCTGTCCGAGGTCACGTTCAAGCCATCAGCATAGATCCGGAAGAAGGGACGCACGCGCCCTCGGTCTCGTCGCTTTGCCCTGGAGAGGAGAGGGGCACCGAAGATCGCCCCCACCCACGAACGACGGCTCCCCCTCTGCCTTGTTGCACCATCTTTTGCCCCCTGTCTCGGTTCAGGCTCGCTCCACTCATCACTGCTCGGACGCTCTATGCCGAAACAACGACGGATGCCCATCGCCACTCGCGGGGCCCCCCGACCTCGCTCCCTCCATATCGTCCTACCACCCACCCTCATCCACACCTCTCTCTCTCCCTCTCTCACACAGACACACGAGTCACCCTCTCTCTCGCGCGGCGCCATCTCTCTCTTTCTCTGCCTGCCTGTCAGTCTGCCAGTCTGTCCGTCTGTATCGTATCCCCCTCCGGTCCTTCCTCACCACAAAACCCAGGCTTCACTCCATCGCGATTCCAGCGGCCCCGCCAGCCATGGTGTGAGATGGGCAGCGGAGGCTGTTTCGTTGCTGTGGCACCTCGGAGGATAGGAAAAGAGGGGGCGAGGAAGGACGACGACGACAGTGACGATGACCTACTGTCCGATTCCGCAGATGGCCAGTTCCCGCATCTCCTGCAGGACTCCCTCGACCTGTCACACCACGATTGGGGCGGCGAGAGAAGAGGAAGGAAGAGTATCAGGTCAGTTCTCCCTTCCCCCTTCGCCCCCTCTCTTTCTCTCTACCCACGGAGCGGCTCGGGGACTCACCTGTGCATCGAGCTGACCCTCTGCGTACTCTTCGCGCACGCCCTCGCGGAAGAAGCGCTGTACGCCGCCGAGTTTCTCGTAGCCCTCTTCTGCGAACTTGGCCTGCATGCGCACCATGGCCTCGAAGCTCGGGTCGAGGTAGGGGATGCGCAGGTCGAGGAGCTGCGGCAGCTCCTCGGCCAGCTGGTCGTTGTACGCCTCGAATATCAACCGCGCGTCTTCCAGCTCCTTTTCCGCCCTGCTCCGAGTGCGCAAAGTGGCAGAAGAGGGGGACGAGGGGGTTAGCAAAGATGAGCGAGCGGGATCGCCAAGGTGCTCAGTATGCGGGGGCGCTGCACTCGGACGCACTTGGGCAGCTTGATTGGGTCGTCGCTTGGCTTGTCGATCAGCTTGCGGTGTCGAGATCGTGCGGCGTCGTAGTCGAGCAGCTGCGCCCAGTGTTCCGGTGCGAGGTGCGAAGGATGCCGGGGGGGTCAGTCGACGGTGCGAATCTCGGGTACCACGCCGCCACTCCGCCACGCCGCCACGCCGCCACGCCGGCGCGGGCCTCACCTTCTTGTTCCTCTTTTCGAGCGTCTTGTTAATCTCTGGAAAGTAGCTGCACATTTTGCCGATGGGTTCGAGGACGGTGGCGCGGTAGGGGGCGTCGATTTCGCGCGCCGTCTTTGTGTCGAGCTCCTCGACGGCGCGCTTGTAGGCGTTTGCGGCCATGGCTGCGTCGCTCGAGTCGGTGTAGAAGCCGTCTACGGTCTCTGCGATGCGTGCCTGTGCCGAAGCGAGGCCGCGCATGGCGTCGAGGTAGACCTTGGCCTCCTTTTGGAGCGCGACCATCTCGCGCTCCATGGACCTGTATCGCTGCTCCTCTTCGCTGAATTCGCTGTCGATGGTGCGCTCCACCTGGCCCGTCTTTTGCATGAGCGTGGTGCCGGCGCGGTTGAGCGACTTTTTGAAGCCGCCCCAGGACATGGTGGGCGGTGGGGAGGAGGAGAGTGGGGCGGGCAGGGAAGAAGGGTGAGGTGTGCAGCACGAGGAGCGAGGCGGGTGATGGGAGGTGGTCGGGTGCGGTGGAGTGTGCGAGGCGGTGATGGGCCGAGTGGTGACGGGGGATGGCGACGAGGAGCGATGGTGGAAGTGGAGCGGGTCAGAGGCCGAGACGGCAAGGCCCCAGCCCCGGCCCTGGCCCACGTCGGGGACGGATCGGCGTCAGGGCAGGCCGGGCTGGGCAGGGCTGTGCTGTGCCTCGAATCGACCTGCTTGCTGGTTGGTGGCCGATGCCCGTCTCCCGTGGTTGGCTTGCCTTGCCTTGCCTTGCCTTGCCTGGGCTAGGATCGGGCGCGGGCTTCTCCACTTTAGGCCCCCCCCGCGTGTCTGTGCGCAGCCTAGGCCAGGCCGGGCCAGGGCAATGGCCGGGGACCAGCCACCTTGCTCCTCCTCCTCCTCCCCTCTCACCACCACCATCACCACCACCACCATCCCTCCGCTGCAACTTGCCTCCTCGTCGCAACACACGCCTGCTCCCACGCCCGCGCATACTCGCTACACGTCACCCAACATCACAACAGCAGGCTACCGCCATGAATCGCCTCTTTGGCAGCACCGCCGCCAAGCCCAAGCCCTCGCTCGGCGACGCAATCGCATCCACAGAGGCGCGCGCAGACGGCGTAGAGGTCAAGATACGCAAGCTCGATGCCGAACTCACCCGATACCGCGATCAGATGAAAAAGCTCCGCGACGGGCCCGGAAAGGTGAGCCCCTGGGCCGTCACTCCCGCCCGCCTCTGTTCAGAACGCCCGGCTGACGATTCGATTCCCTCGTCCTCGTCCTCGTCCTCATCCCCGTCCCCGTCCCCGTCCTCATCCTCGTCCCCCTGCCTCACCTCCGCTTAGACCGCCGTGCAGAAACGCGCGCTGCGCGTGCTCCAGCAGAAGCGCATGTACGAGGCGCAGCTCGCCTCGCTGCAGCAGCAGTCGTTCAACATGGAGCAGGCCACCATGACGACCGACAACCTGCGCAACACCATGGCCACCTTTGACGCCATGCAGACGGCCAACAAGGAGATGAAAAAGACGTACGGCAAGATTGACCTCGACAAGATTGAACGCATGCAGGACGAGATGGAGGACCTCATCGAGAGCGCAAACGAGGTCCAGGACACCATCGGTCGCAGCTACGCCGTCCCCGACGACATCGACGACGACGAGCTCCAGGCCGAACTCGACGCGCTCGGCGATGAGCTCGAAGAGGAGTCTGCGGATGGTATACCCAGCTACCTCCGCAACGACGAGTCGGCCCTGCCCGACTTTGTCGACGAGGACCCCTCGGCAAAACTCGAAAACCGGCCCGAGGATCAGACAGAGGCCATGAGGGCCGCCTGAAAACGAGGGGCGCGCGCGCATGCACGCCGAGCCAGAATCAATACCCGTTGCAGCCGTCCGTCTGCGCGCCAGGAGGTCGGATGCGATACCTGCGTGCGATCGTGTTGCAGGGAGTGTGGGAGACGATGCGATCGAGTGGGCGGTACAAGTACATGCGGGCGCGAGGCGGGGGGAAGCCGCGGCCAGGCCGGCGAGATGCTCGGACAGTGACGGAATGGAGGCGATTCGAGGGGGATGCAGGCGCCGGGTGCCGACTCAGCCGACCGAATCAGCAGCAGCCGGGGCAGACGTGGAGCTGCTCGTGCACAAAGGCGTCGCACTCGAGGCAAAAGTGGGTCCTGCACCTCGAGCACGCGTACCTCGACGACGGCGCCAGACCGCTCTCGTCGACGGCGCCCACCACGGCCCTCGCACCGTTGGGCGCCTTGGCTTTGGCGGCGACCGTAGCGGCAGCCTGCGACGACGACGATGTTGCTGTGGAGCCGTTGGCGTTGGCGCTGGCGCTGGCGCTGGCGCTGGCGTTGGCATGGCCATTGGCGTGGGTTGGAGCCTGGGCCGGGTCGGGCTTGGGGGGAAAGGGGAGGTTGCACGAAAAGCAGTTCGGGTTCGACGCGGGCGTGACGGCCTCCCAGGGCACGGCGAGCCAGTTGCCGACGGGGAAGAGATGGTGGTAGGAGCGGGCGAGGTGGGTGCTCATGACAATCGTGATGCCGCACACGGGGCAGTCGGTGGGCACGTCGCACACCTTGCACCCGCAGCGCGGGCACAGGTAACCGGCGCCCTTGACCTTGGAGTGGCACGCGCACAGCGTAGGGTCCGAGTGGGCGGGCAGGCGCAGCGGAAAGGCCATCTGCAGCAGGTCGATGCCCTGCGACGCGGCGTCGCCGTCGCCGTCGCTTCCCTCTGGGCCCCGGCCTCGCCCGCGGCCTGGACCCTCGACTGCGGGCGGGGGCACGAGATCAAAGAGGCAGTCGCGAAAGTGGCCCTCGTTGAGGGCGACGCTAAAGGTGCCTCCTGTCTTTGTGCAGACGTCGCGGTAGATTTTGACCTCTGCGGCGAGCGAGACCATCGAGACGCGGATGTGGTCGCGCTGGAGCTGGCGGATGGTGTCGTGGATGTTGCCCGGGTCGCAGGTGGTGAGGGAGCCAAAGATGGCGAGGATCTCGCGCGAGTTGCTGGCGGGCAGGTGAGCCAGGCTGGAGCGCGCCATCTCGAGGGCATTCTGCAGCGAGGGCTCGCCGCTGGGCTCGAGCCTGCGCCGCTGTCCGAGCGAGGCGACGTGGTCGACGGTGTTGCCGCCCATCATGGCGACGCGCTCGGCGATGCCGTTGCGCGTGGCAATGACGCTGAGCTGGCCGATGGGGTTCTGGTCAAAGTACTCCTGGACAAACTCGCGGGCGTACTGGAGGGTGAGGTCGAAGCGGTTGGGGCGGAGGTCCTTTTCGAGCATGCTGGAGCTGAGGTCGATGAGGAGGACGAGGTGGCGGATGATGCCGCGCTGGACGGGGGCGACGTCGCGGGTGATGCGCTTGCGCTTGTTGCTCTCGATCATCTGGCGCACCGCGCTCTCGAGGCTGCCGCTCTCGTCTTCGTGGACATTGTCCCAGGAGCGCTTGTAGGTGGCCTCCCAGCTGTAGCCGGCGTCCTTGGCCTTGGACTTGGGCTTGGGCTTGCCCGGTGCACCACCGTCCTTGGCTGCCTTTGACGTGGAAGCAGCACCGGCAGCGCTGGAGCGAAGGCTGTTGCGGGTAGCGAGAGCGCCTTGTCCACGGGCGCCGAGGCGTGGTAGGGCAGGTGCGGATCGGAAATCGTCGCCGCTGTCGTCGTCGTCGAGGTAGTCTTCCTCTTCTCGGTCGTAGTCTGCGTCGCCGTCGTCGGCGGCATTCTGTCTCGGCGGCGCCATAGCGGCGGAGGAAGGGGAAAGGAGGGAAAAAGTCGAGCGTGGTAGACGACAACGACGACGACGACGAGTGCGCGGGGGCGACGAAGATGGCGGTTGAAAGACAGAAGGAAGCTGCAAGGGCCCAAAGCTGAGTCGGCGCATGTGGAGCAAGCAGGCCGTTGGTTAGGCTGGCTGGCAACCCACCTTGAATCGACGGCTGGCCAGTGCTTTGCTTTGCTTTGCTGCCCTCTCTCGCCCGAAAGAGCCATCTGGGCAGCCCAGCGACAAGCCCAACGCGCCGCCAACGCGCTACGGCAGGCCGTCGTGGCTCGGGCAGGCCAGCAGGCTCCCCACTCCTGCCCCCACCTTCTCACCACCACCACCACCACAGCCACCTCCGGTCACCCTCGCCGCGCAGCCGCCACGATGAACTACGCAGGCTACATGGAGAGCCCCTCTCCTGCACCGACCAACACCAACAACAACAATACCAGCACCCCAGCAGCACTGCGCGGCAGGAAGCGCAAACACGCCCCCTCGACTTCCACCCCCTCGCGCCAGCACTCTTTCAACCAGCACCACCCCGGCCATCCAGGCCACCCGGGCCACCCGCAACTTCCTCACCATGGCTACCCGCACGGCTACCATCCCGGCGGCCCCGCAGCTCAGGGCCCTCCGCCCCCCGGCATGCTGCCCGGTCACGGCCAGGGCCCACTCGGCCTCAACCTCCCTTCGTCCATCCAGGACGACCTGCCCGACAATGTCATCGACGACCTCGACAGGCTCACCCACCGCGACCTCGCCGTCGCCCGCTACGTCAGGAACCACGAGCTGCTCAGCATGATCTTTGACGCCCGCAGGATAGGTGAGTCGCCGTGCTGCATCGTCGCCCCTCGGGACGGCAAGCCGACCGACCTGACCTGACCTGACCTGACCTGACCTGAGGCCTTGCCACCCATCGCTGCCATCGCACCCGCCTCCACCCAACACCCCGCCACAGACACGATGCAGCCATCGCCTTCCCCCTACTCTGCTATGTCCGCCGCCGAGCTCAAGGAGCGCGTCGAGTCGCTCCACGGCGACCTCGAACAGCTCGCCCACCGCCACACGCGCAAGCTGCAGCGCCTCAACAGCGTCCTCTCGGGCAAGCTGCCCGTCGACAGCCCAGTCTGGGACGACGACGACGGCGCCGACGAAGGCATCGTGGAGCTGCCTGCCGAGGCGAGGGAGGGCGACGTCCAAGAGGCCACGGCCGACGACCGCTGGGCACAGCACCCGAGCCGCGGCAGGATCGTCGGCCTCGGCTTTGTGCGCGCCGACACGCCGCCGCAGCTCAGGCCAAAGGCTCCACCGGCACAGCCTGCCGGGAACACCGCCGAGGGACAGGCGCAGGCGTCACCACAGCAGCAGCAGCAGCAGCAGCAGCAGCAGCCGCAGTCGCCCTCGGACATGGTCGTCGATGGCGCATCCGACGCGCTCGAAAAGCAGAGGCAGGAGGAGGAGCGGCTGAAGCAGGAGCTCGAGGCCATCACCCAGCTCAACAAGGCCCACGGCATCCACGCCGACTTTTCCACGGCGCCACCACCCGCTTCCGCGCCCGCGCCCGCACCAGCTCCCGCCCAGCCTGCACCCGCCAATGCTCAGACGGACCCTCCGCGGCCACCCGCGGTGCCATCCGCTCCGGTGGCCGCCGCGCCCGCCCAGTCCTCGCCTGCGCCGGCTAGCGCAGCGGATAGCACCGTCGCCGATGCCGCACCTGCCGCCGCCCAGGCTCAGGCTACAGACGCTGCTTCTTCCGGCAGCAGCAGCAGCGGCGGCGGCGGCGGCGGCGGTGATGACGCTGCCACGGGGGATGGAGCCGGTGCTTCGGCGGCCGAGGGTGTTGCTGCAGCTGTCGAGGCGGCGCCCGTGGCCACTGATACCTCTGCTGGCACCCAGGCTCCCGCGGCAGCATCCGACGCTGCACCGGCGACGGCGGCAGCAGCAGCGGACACTACAACAGACGTCAAGACCGCCGCCGTCGAAGGAGCACCCGCTGCTGCGGCGGAGGGCGACACCACCATGACGGACGTTGCGGATGCGCCTGCTGCCAGCGAGCCGGAGACACAGCCAAGTGCCACGACCGAGCCGGCGGCGGCTGAAACCAAGCCCGCCGAGGTGGAAGTGGAGGCCAAGGCGGAACAGGCCGAGGACGACGTCAAGATGGACGAGGCCAAGGACGAGCCAGCGGCGACCGCCCAAGCCGAGACCGAGGCCAAGGCAGCCCCTAGCGCCTGAAGCAGAGCGACTTCGAGACGATCTACAGTCGGTCCTTTGTCATTCTCGTTCTCTCTACCTGTGAAATCGACACGGGATGGCATGGTCGCCGTCTATCGGATGCGGACCTTCACTAGGTCCGGATGCGGACCGAGAGGCAGGTGACGCAGCCCTCGAGTGCCTCGAACTGGGAGATGTCGACGGTCTCGACGCGGTAGCCGCGCTGCCGGAGTATCTGGGTCGTCCTTGGCGCGTCTGACGACATGACGAGGTGCGAGGGCGACAACACGACGACGGCCACGCCGTGTTCCTGGCCGGTCCGTCGACGAGGAGGAGGGGGCAGCGAGTGCGTGAGTGCTTGGCGGGAGGGGAGAAGTCTGGACTGGACTGGACTGGACTGGACTCGACTCACCTCTGGTACGGCTAGGAACGAAGGAAAGATGGAGGGATCGTCGACGATGGGTTCGTACCCGATCACGGTCCCATCCGGCAGTGCGGTGACGGCGCTCTCTGCGGTGGGTGAGCACGTTGATGAGGCTCCGGGGGCGTCAGTTTTGAACGAAGGGCAACGACGTCGGATCGACAAAGAGGGAGAGAATGGGCGGGAAGCGGGGGACACGGCAACTCAACTGAGATGGAGGGCCTTTGTAACGGGTACCTCGACCAGATCCATATCGAGTTCCTTTAAAAGAGCGCGGAGCTGCGCGCGACCGAGGTCATTGGTCCTACTGCTCCTCCCGACATACACGGTGCGGCCGACCTTGAGTAGATCACCGCCGTCGAGCCTCGCCTCACCCTCTATCCTCACCACCCTCTTCACGTCCCCTCCAAGATGGGCCCGGAGAAACTCTTCGATGCCGTCGAGTTCGGGTCGACGTGACTCGGCACCGGGCGAGGTGACGAGGATGGTACCGCGCGGCAGCGAGACGAGGATATCTTCGACAAAGACGCTATCGGCGCATGTGGGCGCGGGTGGAACCTCGATGATCTGCCACGGCGGCGTGGCGGTGGCGAAGAGGGAGATGTAAGCTTGCCATTGCGCCAGTGCGAGGGTGTGGGAGATGGAGGAGGGGGCGGGCGTCGAGATGTGCGTGATCTGTCCCGAGGCTAGGTTGGGCGGTGGTCGGCGAACCAGTAGCGTGCCTCCCCCTCCTCTCCCGCCTCCTCCTCCCTCCCCGCGAGGGGATGCGGATGTCGTGTTGTTGGTCGTCGCGGTGGACATGCTCGAGGTGGTGGTGGACGAAAGCGAGTGCAGGCAGGGAGCGAATGCGAGGGTCGTCGAGGGCTGCACTGCGCTGCGTTGCGGGGCAGGCGGTCCGTGCCCCCTCATCCCCCCGCACGGCCACCGCCAACGCTCACTGTTCCCGGCCAAGAAGCCGATCCCGCTCCGTACCGTCGTCGTCGTCGCCATCGTATCGCCCCCTTTGCCCAGCCTTGGTCTATCCGAGAGCAACCGGTAAGGCAGCCATCCGAGAAACGAGGCGGCTGCGGGCCCATGCCGAATGGTCCCCGACCGACGCCTGTCTCTCTCTCTCTCTAGACTCTGTACCGTCTCTGCTGGCTGGCTCGGCGCTACGCAACGCCGCGCTGCGCTGTGGCTGGATCAACTCCGGGCCGCATCGCTCGTCGCTCGTCGTCGTTGATTAGAGCTCCATCCCGTGCGCGCGTCTGGGCGGTCCGTCGGTCGGTGAGTGAGACCTTTGTTGCGGTTCTGCAGGAATGGATTCACCGGCGAGAGAAGCAGCCCCGTCGCGACAAGCCGAGGGCTGTTGGGCAGGCGGGCAAGCGATGAGGAACCAGCGTAACCTACCGCTGATCCTATGTCTTGCAGCTCCGCATCGCCGCACTGAGAGAGGCAGGCAGGCTGAGCCAGGTGCTCAGCTTTTGAAGCACAACGACACCTTACTGTATCTAGTGCTCCGTGGTGGCAGGGCAGCATTGCATGGTGAAGTCCCCGCAACCTGCCCTGCCGCGTTGATGCTGTCTTCATGTGACCACGTACGAACCTGATGCACCAGGCTATAGACGTCCATCCATCATTGCAGGAAGGGGATTGGCAAGGCAAACAGGGATGCCAGAAGAGATTAAGCACGCAAGCAAGCTGCGTCACTTTGGACCTCGGACAAGAGAGTGGCTAGGAACACAGGCCGGGCTGCAGGCGTCGTATTGATGGCAGGAATTCCTCGAGCAGACAACATCGCCCGAGGGCTCAGGCAGACAAGGCAGGCCAGACACCACCCGCCGCCACCGCCGCCGCCGACGACGACGACGACGACGGCGTTCCATTCGAAGGAGCCGCTCGGCCAGCAACAGAAACACAGATGGAAGCACCCCCGCCCGCCAGCTCGATCCGGCCTGGGCTGGGCGGAGACACCGCTAAGCTCCTTTGCCTCGCCGTCGCCGTAGCCGTCGCCGTATTTCTTGCCCTCGCCGTCGCCGTCGCCTCACCGTCGACCGGTGGCTCTGCCCGCCACCAGACCCAAGCCAAACTTGCAAGCTTGGAGATAGAGATTCAAGATTGCCGCCAGCCAAGACGAGCGCGGCGAGGGCGACAGCACGCACGACGGTACCACTCCTGTCCAACGTCGGCCGCCACGACGGGCAGGCAGGCAGGGCAGGCGCAGCAAGGCGGGTCGCCCACTGGTCTGTTTGCCAGCGGCAGGTAGGCAAAGCGAGCAAGGGCGGGCTAGGCTGCGGCCT